GGGTTTTGGTTTTTCTCCGGTACCAGGAACCGAACTCACGACCTTCCGCTTGCCAGGCAGGTGCTTTTGCCGCTGAGCTAAATCCCCAGCCCCCTCAATTTTTTTTCAAATTTATTTTTTGGCCTTGTCTTTGTCTTAGAGCTGTAACTTCGTAAACTTTGATAGAATTCACCGTTATAATTTTCAGGTAATACCAATTAAATATCAGTTTACTAATTAAATTGCTTCTAGGATTTTTCTGATTTATTTCAACTTATAGCACTATCTTTTTGGAGCTCTTTGTTCATTTGTTTGTTAGTTTAAGACAGAGGCTTGTTATGTAGTCCAGAGTTCAGGCTAGCCTTGAACTTGCTATATAGCCCAGGCTAGCCTCCAACTTGTGATCCTCCTGCCTCAGCCCCCACAGTGCTGGGAATACAGGGGTGAGTTACCAGGCACAGCTTGTATCTTCTAAATATTAGAAATACTATGTCTTCTAAAATTCTTTGGCACTGATTTGATCTTAATATATTCAAGAATATAAAAGTATATTCAAGAAAATACAAATTCCTTTAGAAAGGTATTTTCCTGAATGCAGGCTAAAAGGTAATAATGATTTTTGATTATTTTGCAGACCTCCAAGGAAGATCTTCTGCAAGCTGATTTTGAAGGTGCTTTGAAGTTCTTCAGAGTTCAGCTTCCAAAGAGATACAGAGCAGAGGAAAATGCAAGAAGACTGATGGAGCAGGCTTGCAACATCAAAGTAAGACACATGAATTTGTATATGAGAAAGGTGTAATTTGAGCGGAGTATGGTACCAAATTGTGTGACTCCTTTTATATATGTTGCAGGGTTGTAACAATGTTTAAACTAACAATCTTGTATAAACTAGTCTCTTCTAGAATGTTTTTTTTTTTTTTGTCAGAGTAGTGAATACATACTTGTTATATCTTCTAGTAGGATTTACAGTAAAAATGGACAGGTTCAGATCATAACAATAGGAAGTCAAATATTTTATCTTATAGGTAGGGCTCTAGAAAGGGCTGCTGTGGTAGTGGTTTCCATGGCAGCAGACTTAGTGCAAAGCAAGAAAAGCCTGTTTAAGCAGTGGTTTCATTTATCTGAACAATTCAGAAAGTTTGGGTCTTGATTCCTATCCCATACCTGCCAAATGTCTGTCGATATACTGGTCTATGTCACATGTCTGATAAAAACTAAATAAATCTTACTATTTAATTTTAAACTGAAAGCTATGTGGGAAATTTTAGTATTACGGCGAGAGAGCACACTTTTCAAACAACAGAAGACAAGTGGGCATGGTGATGCATGCCTGTAATCTCAGCATTTGGGAGGCTGAGGCAGGAGGATTGCTGCAAGTTTGAGGCCAGCCTGGGGCTACATAGTGAGTTCAAGACCAGCATAAACTACATAGTGAGATTCAGTCTAAAAAACAACAAAAAAGCAAATAAACAAGAAAGTAGCTGAAACCAATTTACTAATATTAATTCTTAGATCTCTGGAATATACTAGGGGATCTTGGAATCTAACCATGACACAAATACAAGTTCATGTCCTAAACAGATGGACAAACAAGTCTTATGGACCTTATATTTCTTGCAGAAAAAAAGACAATGAAACAATTAGAAATAATAATGTATTTAATAATAAAAAGGCGATAATAGTTGTAAAAAAAGAAGAAAATGGGAAAGAGCAAAGATTGGATTGTGGTGGAATGAAAGGTTGTGATTGTTATTAGATAGGATGGACCTTGTGGAGAATGTGACTGAGTCCCGCGGTTATTCATGCAAACATCTGGGCTAGGCTTGCTTACTGCTGGATTTGAGGGAGAAGGCTAATGTAGCTGGAATAAAGTGAGTTAAATCAGAGTAGTAGGAAAGGAAGTTAGAGCACTTACAAGGAACCAGAAATGGTGGCTGTTTGTGATGATTTAGGCTCTTCTTTGAAGTGGAGAGCCTTGTGGGATTTTGAATGGAAGAGTTCTTTTAAATACAGTCCTCACTGTGCAGCTTTTTCTAGTGTAATACTTCTGTTTTCAATTTTAACCTGTTTTAAGGTAAATTACAAATATTAGCATAACTCCATGCTGAAAGTAAGCAGAAAAAAAAAGTCAAATGAACCCTATGTTCAGAAAGATTACTTTCCAAGTATGACAGGAAAGGCAGGCTCTGAAGTCTTCATCTTGAATAAGCCCTTTAAAGCCTTTCAGACCTATTATTATATTTGGCTGGGCCAAGGTCTAACCCTAAGCCATTTTGTAAGTTTATTGCGGTGGACTTGCTGCCTGTGTTTGAATTTTGTAGGAGGTTAAGTTTGAAAGTAGGCTTCAGCCACTGGTTGTTCCAAAAACACCAGAGAGGCTTCAACTAAGCAAAACTCAGAAAACATGTTGGCCCATCAGACTTGACTTTAGTCACTTGGTTGCTTAATCAAGACCTAAGTGAGGGCCAGAGTCTAAGTGCCTGCCTGGTGAGTGCAAGGTCCTGAGTTTGATTCTGGTACAAAAACAACAATAAGACCTAAGTGAAAGATGCTAATGTGCCTAATCTAAGCAGCCTGCATTGTTCAGGAAGTCAGCTTTTGATTGAATATCATTATTCAGTTTTCATCTTTAGTTAAAAATTCTATTACAGAGCTTCTCAAATTTAGATTTTGGCTTTAAAGATTCTGAATCGCTAGGTATGTGAATTTCTTCGTATGAACATATGAATATTTTATTTTTTTCTGGTAAGACAACATATAAGCTTCCATTTCCTGAAAGGGAATTCAGTGACTCCAAAAGGCTGGCCTCTATACTGTGGGGCAATCTTAAAATTGTCAAGCAAACTAAACATTAAAAGAATATTGGGGCCAGGTGTGGTGGCACACGCCTGTAATCCCAGCACTTGGGAGGCTGAGGCAGGAGGATCATTGGGAGTTCAAGATCAGCCTGAGCTATGAAGTGAGCCCAAGTCCAGCCTGAACTGCATAGCAAGACCCTGTCTGAAAAAAAAAAAAAATCACATAAAAGAATATTGGAAGTTATAAATGGGACACTTGTACACACTCAAGTGCATATATACATAACCTTTATAATTCTTGATCTGATTGCCATTTTTCTACAAATTTTGTATTCTGTATATTTTAGTTAATCATCCTTCTCCCTTCCTGTACTCACTCTATATATCATTTATATTTAAGTTGGATTTATAAAATTACCAGTCTTATTTGTCAAAAACTATCAGTTTTTAGATGTTGTGTATTATTTAATTCAGTTATTTACTTCCTTAAAATTCAAACAGTGCTATGTAGATAGATGGTGAAATACTAAAAATTTGAATCTTTCAGAGATACTGAATTCATCTAGCTGACATTGCTCTGATCAAAATTCAAAGATGAAATAAAATAATGAAATGTCTATAGTTTAGAGCTGTGATGGCAAACCTTTTAGAGGTTTTGATAGCAAACAGCGTGCTGCGGCATACATGCCTTAGATTCACCAGCGCTGGTTTAGAGTATTATATGCCTTGGTTTTATAACCATGTGAACCTTTCCTGGGAATTACTTTCCAAAACTGGAAAGCAGGTCTATTTTGGAATATCGCAGATGCCACACTTACAATGGACTTTACTGGTGAAAAGTTTATAAGCACAGTCCTCAAAATATTCTGTTGATAGATCTTCATAATAGAATGTTTTAAAATGTAAATTACCCTATTTAATTTGTACTTTATTAGTAACATAACTTGAGCAAATTTAAAACTGCAGAGCATAACATTTGTTTAAACTTAAACATTTGCTTAAGGAAGATCATTTATTGAGTTCCTGTTTTGTTCCAAGAACTCTGCAGAGGAGATAAGGGCGGAGATGAGGCCTGAAGGGTTATTTAGAGTGAGTACAGGAAGGGAGAAGGATGATCCATGTAGGAAATATGCGGAAACTCATAGGGAACAAAATGCAGAGCAATCCAAGCCTTCTATGTAGGTTGGAGATTAGGGAGTGCAGAGCAAGAGGGGTAAGGAGGTAGACAGGTTAGAGAGGTAAGCAGCAAGCAGCCGTGCAGAGCTGTGTGATCAGTGGTAGGCATTTGGATTTCATCCTGCCGTGCGGGATTGGGGGCACTGAGAGGCTTTGAGTAGGAGCCAAAAGCGATCACATTTATGTTTTAGGAAGGTCATTCTGCTGCTGTGTGGACAGTGGACTGGAAGATATACAGTGAGATAGTAATGACAGACCGTTTCAGGCACGGAGCTGTAATCTAGGTGAGGAATGATCAGAATATTTGTTAAGGGTTGGAGAGAGATGGATGAGAAGCATTCAAGAGATAGAATCAACAGATCTTGGTGATTACGAGATGGAATGAATCAGTGATAACGTTCAGCATTCTACTTAGAGAGTTTGGCAGTCATCACACTGAGAAAGGAAATGAACAAAGAAGAACAAATTACTGGATAGAATGAGTTACATTTGGGATATGTTAAGTTTATGGTACATATCCACACACTCCTATAATAGCCACTATGCAGATGGATATCACATAAGATCTAGGTTAAATGCAGACATTTGGAAGTGGTCAGCATTGAAGCCGTGAGAGTGGGTGAACTCTCACAGAGGAGTACTGAAGAGAGAAGAGTTATGGATAGACATATTAACATACATTAGATGGGCTGAGTCTAAGCTGTAAGACTAAGAGGCCCAAAAGAGTATAAAACATGAATACTAAGGGAAAGGTATTCGTTTTCAAGAAGAAAGGAGATGTTTGCAAGGCACTGGAAAAAACAAACCCAAAAGAAGTGAAGGAGGAAAAGAAAGAAGAGGTACAATGCCATTGGTGCCTGGAAGCCATGTAAGGGACTAAGGAGTGGAGAGTGGTTACTGTGCAGAAGTTAATGGTCAGAGTCCTTCATGGTCTTAGTGACAGCGTTTTCAGTGACGTAATGAAATATAAGAGGGGCTGGGGTTTTAGCTCAGCGGCACAGCGCTCGCCTGGCAAGCACAAGGTCGTGAGTTTGATTCCCGGTACCCGAAAACAAACCAAAAAAAAAATGAAGTATAAGAGCCAGTGATTAAATGAACAAATAGGAGGTGAATAAATGGAGCCATAAAAATGAGGTGATTTTTCTAAAAGATTAGCAGGAGGAGAGCATGGATAATGGGAGAGAAAGCCAGCAAGCTAGATAGTAAATGAGAGGGGGGAAGAAAAGAAGCAGGGAGAGAGGAGGGCATGAGGTTAAGATGGATTTCTAGAGGATGGAAAGGATGTCTTAAGATGCTTAAATAATTAGTATTTCTTCATTGAGCACTTATTTACTCTATGCCAGGCACTGTGCTAGATCCAGAGAATACAAAGTTGAACAAAAGCAGATGTGCTGTCTGAGCTCAAAATCTGTAATGCTGTCAGCAAGACGTTAATGAGGCAATCACGAGAATAAATGGTATTTACAGTGACATAAATATTCAGAAGAGATACCGGGATAGATGAGAGCAAACAGCAAAGGAACTGATTTTGACTCAGTCGTGTTTGGGAAAGCCTTGTTGAACTGAGATGATGAGGCATTCCAGACTGAGGGAGCTGCACTGCAAACCTGTGAGAAAGGAGAGAGCGCAGTAAGTTTTATAACTAGGACCAGGCCAGTGTGACTGGACAGTGATGAGGGTGGATGTCCATGGTCCAGACTGTTCTGATCTGTCGGTAGGAAGAAAAGACTCACGCAAAGAAAAACCGTAAAGACTGAAGAAATACACAATAGAGAGACGTCTGAGGAGG